GTGAATAGTTCGGGGAACGTTTGCTCTCTTTAGAGGGCGGGGGGAGGTATATTTGTTGATATCAGGAGTTCTGGCCTGGATAGAGTCGTTGTAAAGCTATTTTTGCTTCGGAGTATCGGTTTACCGGAAGCTGAGCAAGGAAAAGTCAAATGCTGCATTTATGGAATAATAATAGAGATTCTCATGGTCTAACAGTGCGAAGATTAGACTTCTGGTAAGGTGGCAACGATCAAGGCCCACATAATAATTCATAATAATTGAAGGTCATGATGTAAAAAAAGCGACTGAAATGGTGGATGCCATGCAATCCTCTCGGGTGGGGGCGGAGTACCTGGCCTTAAAGGTTGCCCCTGCGACAGAAGGCAAGCATGCCCAGATTGTCCACGGGCTGCTAAATCAGACCGTCCCTTTCTTAGTACCCGTTCCCTGTCTTAAAATTAGACCCGGGCAAATTTCTCGAGATTGCACCATCATTTTGGGCTTAAAGCTTCCAAAGTCCAACAATAATAGCGCATGTTTGCGACGGTTTTTTTAAGTCAGTCAAGTTCTTAAACCAGGCCTTAAACGGCCAGTTTTAAGTGTCGATAACAGTTAAAAAGGCATACAAGCCTCATGCAAAAGAAAGTGGGAAGGAAGTGCACATCGGTGATGGGGAAAATGGAGTAGCCCACAGTTATTTAGGGGTGGATCTTTCGAAACATTCTTATACTCTTGGACAGATATGCATTGTTTAAAGTTTTAGACAAACCAGGTGTAAATTTATAGTAACAAACTGTTAAATATACATCAGCAAGATTTTTGCGAATCCTATTTTCCGCTGGAGACTATCGTTTACTGGCTGGTCACGCAATCAAAGGTAACGTACTTTCCTACGTTGGTTTACTCACCTTTGGCTCAGCAATACACTGCGTTCCACAAAGGATCCAAATTGCGCTAGAATTGTTTTGCTATTCGGCCCACTTTTTATCTCAGGTAAGGCACTGCAAAGCTGATTCACTTACGAAGATTCGAGGGAGAATTATTTCCTGATGTTATTCTGATTTCGCAGTCACGGGAAAACAGACCTAGACGCAGGTCCACTCGCAGACGCCATGGTACAATCTACAAGATCTCAAGAATAGAAATTACCCATTGAACGGCCTCTCCTTTTGAAGATTGCGTGTCTTTCATTAAAACAGGTACATATTAAAAGAATCTTGTTAGTTTCTCCCTTTTAACGAGCTCAAATCGATGCATAAAACTAAGGTGACGTGCACGTGTCAACTGACCCTGGGGTCAATTAGCGGTTGTTTGGGGCAAAATAACCTCAAAATAATCAATCTATTTTACAAACGTTCGCGAGAACACCAGACTAACTTTCAGATAATGTTGAAGTACTATAACTCATTAGGTAGTAAGCGGGATTTGGGGTGATTTGGAGAATTCCCCCATATAGAAAATTCGATTTTGGTTTTAGCAGTAAATTGTTGTATTTTTAAGCATTATGCAAATTACGTTTCAAAATTCTGCTGGTTCGTCGATATTTTATGCTCTAAATCTAAAAAATGTGCCGTTCAGAAATTGTTAGATATCTGTTTTTTGAGTTTTAAGTGGAAGATTGCCAATATATTCGCTCGTTTATGAAAGTCAGCTCATTTCTGTCGCTAGGCTATATTGCCGTGTTCGGCGGCTAATTTTAGGCCCGCAGACCGTTGAAATCGGAAATCTTAAATAATTCCCAAACTCGGCCGCATTTTGAAATTTAAACCTCAGCAGTGTTATAAACTCATTAAAACCTTATTACAGACTGAAAATGAGGGTAAGTTAGGTTTTTAGCTGTGGCCACGATTTGCCGATTTTGCTCGATTTTTCTGTGCATTCGCTCTTAAACATTGTTATTTCGAGAAATTCATGTCCAAGTGTATTTCTTCCAGTTTGGTAGTTAAATTGGTAGTCAAGCAGTTTAAAAACCCCATCGAGCCGCCTTAAAGGTGTTACTTCTTGAACTATTGATTTCAATAATTGCTTACTAACTGTAGTCGAGCCACTGAATATTGCCAACGTTGAATTTTCGCTCTCAAGATAACCTGCTACAGCAAATCTAACCAGAAATGTTATCCACCTGTCCTTCTGTTAAGCAGGTGCTATAAACACCGTGAATTTTTCCCGTATTGAAAAAAAGGAAAAGAAAAGAAAATGAGAGCCATTTGCTTTACATTTTGGTTAGGCAGCCAAGTATAGAGCGTACACATGACGTCACATCCGCCATATGGTGCCCCAAAACAATGAAAAGAGCGGCCATGTTTTTGTTCCAAACTAGTCCAGTGGGAATTGAACTCTTTTCTCTTGTAAATGCTTTCTTTTGTTCTAATAAATTTGTATAGATGCTGGCCACCTGAGTGAAAACACTCTATTTGGGCAGTGGTTGGTCATATAACATAACATGAGATCCTTTTGTCGCGACCAAACTTCAGACCTGCTTTGGATCGGAGGGAAAAGTGGAGACGTGTCACGTGAAGTGCCCAAAAATAGGAAATAGGCGATAAAAATGAAAGTGCAAATTGTAATCAATTTTATAGCGTATCAAAAAGAAAACTTGCCTACCAATATATGTCGGACGAAAGCCTAAAGGCAAAGTCAACCTGAAGGTTGAGGTCGTCTTACTTGGGAGAGATTATGTATGTCGTTTTGATCGATTTTGTTTCGTTTCGTTTCTAGTAAATTACAGTTCTTAAAACATGTGCTGCTGTTTTTCTGTTGCTGAGTAAACTGTTGTCAAACATTCTTTTTTCCCATTATGTGGAGCATATGACTGATTGGCAATAGAGCGTTTTCACTCAAAAAACACAAACTCTCTAGGATGAACAAAAATTAAAATGTAGTCTTTATTACGGAGACTCAATACCACAAGCATTTAAACTCAACCTTTACTAGAGTTAATCAAGTCAAAAGCAGAATAACGATAAAATATGCAAATCATGCGGCAAAAGGGCACGCTACCAATCAGAACATTATAGTCGGCATCTATCACCCTCCGGGAGTTGTTTCTGTTCCTATTGTTGCGGAATTCTTTTAATCCCGCTCCGCTGTTTCAAACAAATCAAGAGGACTGTATCTTACGATGTAACAACACGATTTAATGCAATTCAACAATCTACTGCGATGTAACACAACGTTCGTAACACAACGATCAACGTAACTAAACGATCAACGATCAACTGAAACATTCTAAGTATACAGTGGTTTTTCTACTATCCTTGCCTAAGGCAGTATTTTTACATTAATCACATGTACAGTAAAAGTTCCCATTGTAATGTATCTAAATTAAGTGTCTATTACAAAATCGCACATTCTTTCACCTTATTTAGCCTAAGAAAATGCATGCAGTTACATCATTTTATATTGTAAATATACTCGGACTTTGTCTACATTATTGTGAAATCTAATGTCACGAAATCTAACTTCTTTGCGCTACAAATGTCAATTTCTAATTAATATTTAATCACAAAATAATCAAGTTAAGCACCACTTATTCCTTTCCCGACACCTATTGGCTGTGGTTGGAAAGGAGCTGGAGGAAAAGGTGGAGGCGGAGGCTGAGGCGGTGGAAATCCTCCTCAACTTCGGCCCCCGCGTCCACCTCCTCTGCCTCGTCCACCACGTCCGGGCCTGCGACGTCTACCACGTCCACCTATTCTGCGACGTCCACCACGCCTGCCACGCCATCCTCGTCCACCAATCCTGCCACGTCTTCCCCGTCTGCCTCCTCTAACTCTTCTTCCACGTCCTCGCCATCCGCCTCGTCTTCGCCGTCTGCCTCGTCCCCCTCTTCTGCGACGTCTGTCACGTCTGACCCTTCGTCCTCTACTACCACGTCGCTGCGGATCGTCGACTTCATTCGTATTCAGTCGTATCACTGCAAACAGATGTGCGCATTACTCGGTGTCAAACTTAGAAAAAACCTAAGAAAATTTCAAGAATGTTTATCGTGCTATGACCAATTAAAGTAAATATCAGGACAAGTGCAAACAAGCCTTAAGGTTCAAAAACTTATACCGTTGTTGCTTGAGGTTAGTTTCCCACTCCTGACTGGCTTTTCCCTTGCAGCGCGATAATATTCCAGAATTAATTATAGTGCATGTTCGTAACTTTCTGATTTTCACATTAAGTACCTAATGTTCATCAAATTGAACTCATATGCATGGTCCACATCCTCTTGACACATGCATGACTTAAATATCAAGACACAATTGGATCGATTACTTCTCATTGAACTCCAAAAATAGGCTTCTGACGAGTCGCAAAGTCGCAGCTATATATTGGCAAATTACGTAGCTATAATAATTGTAGAATTACACATTCAAGTCTCTTCGGTTTCCAGTAGACTACAAAAGGAGTAAACGAGTTATAAAGCAGAAAATGATCGTTCCACCCCACATCATTTCAGAAATAAAAAAAACTATTCCGAATAAATAATCATAAGCGTTTACTACTTTAATAAAAGGAGAACCTGCTTCTTCGATCTGATAGACAAACAGGTCAGAATTGATCCAAATTTTTTCTGCTAGGTTATTTATGTTGACTAAAATTACTCATTGTCCCAAAATAAAATCGCGTTAGGTACCTTTTCGGTCAGCATTTGCCAACTCTAATGTTTTTTCGGTTATTGCTGGTTCCTCTGGAGAGTCATCATCATCTTCGCTAACATTGCTCAGTTGTTTGGGAACATCACCGTCCCCTTCATCGTCAGTTGCGTATTCTTCATCCATAAGGCGGTCTTCATCATCGTCGTATTCATTATTTTCTCCATCTGCATGTTCATCGTCAACACCATTATCACCTTCATCTTCGTCTTCATCGACATAATCTTCACCTTCTTTCTCAGTCCAGTCATCATCTTCGTCATCATCAGAATCTTCATTTTCTTTATCTACGTCTTCGTCGTCGCCATCATTTGCAAGTTCATCTTCAGTTTCTTCATCAAAGTCTTCAAAATCTTCTTCGCCTTCGTTTTCTTCTTCCTCAGCCCATGCCCTTTCATCTTCATCATCGTCCTTATTTTCGACTTTCACCTGATTGTCACTTTCTTCAGTTAAAGCACCATTTCCAAAAGCCTTGGTTTCTTCAGCATGAAAATTTTTCAGCTTGAGTGCTGTTTCTTTAGGGACTGTAGCACAACTGGAGATATTGAATAAGAACGTGGCACACAGAAAAGCATAAAAGCCGAAAAACAGCCGTGCCTTCATCGCGTTCTGATGCTCCCGGCGACCCGAGCGCGTTTGGTTGTTTGCTTGCAATAGCACGTGTATTTAAACAATTTAAATACGACAATATAGACTTTGAAAAGTTTTGATAAAGAACAAGTCTTGATATTAGGTCTTTTTCTAAATTTGTAAATATTATTTTCGTTTTTGGTCCCATGAGGTCAAAAATACTTCTCAACATAAGTTCTAATTCTATACTTTCTATTTATACATGGACTTTAGTTCCTGAAACATTACGAAGACAATAACGTGAGATTCTGATCTCTCAAAAGTGTGCTTAAAAGGCTTCAAAAAACAGTGTAATTGATTTAAGGAACACGGCCTTTGATCTCCACATACTTAAGCCCTTCACTGATGTTCGGCGTGCACATTTGTTTGTTTCGAAACCTGATTTTCACCAGCTTCGTAGTGGAACCAACGACTTGTAAACAGCCATCGTGATTGACATTTGATTAGATTGGTTAAATTTCACAACAGTCGGTGAGTTTTCTTTCTTATCTGGTATGGAAGCCTTTTATAAACCGTGTTTGAAGTCTAAAAATAGGAAACCTACTAACTTCAATTTATCAATATTGTTGACGAATATCGATAGTACTCTAACCACTTCTGGTCACTTGATATGGCCGCAATAGGCCCTGTACAGCTCAGAGTCACGTGACCAATCTCATGCCAAAACTGCCAACGATTGAGAGACCATTTAAGAAACAGCGGGCTGCCAAATGTTAGGTTTTGAATTCTTAACAGTGGGATTTCTTGGTGCCATTTGAATAATGAAAAAATACTTTATGCATCAGTGAAAAAACATCGCTGGACCGCACGTGTTTTCATACAAACCGTGATAATTTGGCAAAAAAAAAAAAAAAAAAAAAAAAAAAGAAAAAAGAAAAGAGGAGCAGGAGGAGGTTTTTCTATATTTGCATTTCTACTCTTTGAATAAAAGCATTGTCTTGCGTCTCACAGTACATTATTGGGATGTAAATCGCGGTCAAACAAATGCTCGGTATTGTTATTATTAATAGCGATCTTACATTCTGAGGGGAAAGTGGTCACACTTATTTTGTGTCTCTCCCGGCGGTAGGTGGGGTACGGTCAGCCTTTTGCGCTGCAAATTTCCAAGTTACTCTTCTTAGCCTGGACACTCATCCTCCGGCAAAAACCTCTCTTTTTCTTTCACAAGGTTAACTCGAAAACGGCAAGTGTATCTTGAAAACATGACAGGCCTTTAATCCTGCAGAAAAAAAAAAAACAGCAACAGTGTCACTGCAGGCTGTAACTATCACTTTCTTGAAAAATTTCTTCTAAAACTCACAGCAAAATAGACCAATATCACATCTATTTTTACTTATTATTCTATTTTATTTTTTTGTATTCGTGCTGATAATATTGTTATCTCCTCTACCCACATATCTTTACCTTTAGATTGTTAAGGTTTCTTTTTATTTTACATTCGGTAAAATCACAGACTAAATACTTTAGCTCTACGGTGATGTCCTTTGTAAGTAGTAACAAGAAGGTGGAACCTAGCAAAATAGCAAGTTGTCACATTAGTCACTTTGTTGCTTATTAGAATATTTTCTGGCCATAAGCGAAGCGTCAAATTTAAGGTCGCAAATTTTGGTTCAGAAGATTGAACAATTCCTAGAGAATGAAATGATTATTTAGCCTGCGTAAGACTAAATCAAATGGCAAGCGGAAGGATCATCGCAGATAGTTTGTTTGGTATGTCAAAATAAGATTTAATTAACCACATATCACAAAACCTAAAGAAACAATCTGTTTATGATTCGGCGGGCACAGTCATGATCACGTACATTGTCGATATCCTGAATGGTAGAAAATGGACAAAATATGACTGATATTCAATAACGCAGGATATTTGATTCTTAGGTTTGATACCCAGTCATCTATATCCCACAAAAACACATTTTTTCTACTTAAAATAAATTGATCAGATGCATTCCTTTCCTACACATTCAACACAAACAGGTCTTTGTTGCCTTTGCTCATGCTCGTTTTATTTGCGAATAAGTAATTGCTTTCTAGTCAGCTACTTTCAACAGCTCACAGAGAATGTGTATTTAACTTCAATAAGACAACCAATCTTTATTTATTCATTTATTACATTTTTTTTATGCAATGATACTTCACACCCACTCCGACGATGCAGTCGATCACCTATTCAATTTTCTATCCTCTTTCCCACGGCCTCCACTTTTCGCAAGAAACACACTAAGGTAAAACGCGGTCACAGTTGCTGGAATTTTTTGTATTTTTAGTCCCATGTTTCAGTCTTTTGCTGTTTGATCGTGCTTCGAGCGGTTTTGATGTTGTGATGTTGTGAATGCTACGCACGCTGTGAATGGTCGTTCGGTAGGATACCTATGATCTATAAGAGTTAACAGATACATAAATGACGTCACGGAAAACTTATTTTCTTTGTATTGTTCAACATGGCGCGCGGTTTTGAAAATGTATGTGAGATTATTTCGGACTAATCAAGTGAAAGCCTCGTAAAAAGTTTAGCAGGAGCTATTTACAAAGAAGAAAAGATGAAGAAACAGGGAGAAAAGCGTTCTTGACAACTTCAAACTGCAAGAAATCTTCACAGCTGAGTTGTCATCTTGTGTTGTTATATTCCTAGACTTTCACTCAACTAAACAGGGACTGCCATTGGTTGATTCTTGGTCACGTGGCCTTGACTAAAATCAAATGTATCCCGATCGTGATACATTAAGCAATGTACCCCGCTCGGGATACATTGCAGCACGTGATCAAAGCATGGTAGAAAGTGGCGTGACAAAAGGCGGGAAAAATACTGCCAGGTCCTGCCAGTTTTCTTTTTCGTGAATGAACACAACAACACAAACTCGAAGCCTCAAGCTAAAAAGCAACGATTTTTAAAGTTATCCAAGACGTTCCCCGAAGAAAAACAGCAGCTAGTGGAGGAAAATGATGCAGATAATGTAGGGAAGGTACTTTGTAAATCATTCATTCAGTGGTTTTGATAATTAAATTTGTGTTGCTTTAAGTACCGAGTCGACTGTTTTGGTTCGCTCCGGTTATTCTCTTGTTGCTGTTGAAGTGAAAGTCTAGAAATATAACAAAACACTTAATGTCAGGTCCCTCGGGAAACCAGTTAGTTTTGTTTTCCCTCGAGTCCTGATGTTTCCCTCGACTTCGTCTCGGGAAACATCAGGACTCTTGGGAAACAAAACTAACTGTTTCCCTCGGGATCTGACATTAAGTGTATATTATCGCTACGAGCAAGAGAGGATAAAGGGGACAGAGAAGGCATCCCCCATAAACACCCTATTCCATAGGTAATTCGTCTCGAGTTATTTTTAACACCACAAATCTCAAGGGGGATTAGACAACAGCCAATCACATAGCGCGAATGTGTTGCGCGTGGATGACCCACGTTCCGAGCCACGTGCCCTTCACGAATTGACGCAGAAGAAAATGGCGGAAGACGCGCAGAGCGATATTGCTATTCGTCTTGTCGACGAAAACGACTGCAGAGAGATTTCTGCTAAAGCTTTGTCAGCGAAACGGAAATTAAGAGCGTGTCTCCGTAAAACCGACCAGTGATTTTGGATCAAAAATTAATTTTCCTTATATTCTGGGATATTAAAGCCTCCACCTTAGTAGTTGCAATAGCACGTGTATTTAAACAATTTAAAGACGACAATATAGACTTTGAAAAGTTTTGATAAAGAACAAGTCTTGATATTAGGTCTTTTTCTAAATTTGTAAATATTAATTTCGTTTTTGGTCCCATGAGGTCAAAAATACTTCTCAACATAAGTTCTAATTCTATACTTTCTATTTATACATGGACTTTAGTTCCTGAAACATTACGAAGACAATAACGTGAGATTCTGATCTCTCAAAAGTGTGTTAAAAAAGGCTTCAAAAAACAGTGTAATTGATTTAAGGAACACGGCCTTTGATCTCCACATACTTAAGCCCTTCACTGATGTTCGGCGTGCACATTTGTTTGTTTCGAAACCTGATTTTTCACCAGCTTCGTAGTGGAACCAACGACTTGTAAACAGCCATCGTGATTGACATTTGATTAGATTGGTTAAATTTCACAACAGTCGGTGAGTTTTCTTTCTTATCTGGTATGGAAGCCTTTTTATAAACCGTGTTTGAAGTCTAAAAATAGGGAAACCTACTAACTTCAATTTATCAATATTGTTGACGAATAACGATAGTACTCTAACCACTTCTGGTCACTTGATATGGCCGCAATAGGCCCTGTACAGCTCAGAGTCACGTGACCAATCTCATGCCAAAACTGCCAACGATTGAGAGACCATTTAAGAAACAGCGGGCTGCCAAATGTTAGGTTTTGAATTCTTAACAGTGGGATTTCTTGGTGCCATTTGAATAATGAAAAAATACTTTATGCATCAGTGAAAAAACATCGCTGGACCGCACGTGTTTTTCATACAAACCGTGATAATTTGGCAAAAAAAAAAAAAAAAAAAAAAAGAAAGAAAAAAAAGAAGGAGGAGCAGGAGGAGGTTTCTATATTTGCATTTCTACTCTTTGAATAAAAGCATTGTCTTGCGTCTCACAGTACATTATTGGGATGTAAATCGCGGTCAAACAAATGCTCGGTATTGTTATTATTAATAGCGATCTTACATTCTGAGGGGAAAGTGGTCACACTTATTTTGTGTCTCTCCCGGCGGTAGGTGGGGTACGGTCAGCCTTTTGCGCTGCAAATTTCCAAGTTACTCTTCTTAGCCTGGACACTCATCCTCCGGCAAAAACCTCTCTTTTTCTTTCACAAGGTTAACTCGAAAACGGCAAGTGTATCTTGAAAACATGACAGGCCTTTAATCCTGCAGAAAAAGAAAAACAGCAACAGTGTCACTGCAGGCTGTAACTATCACTTTCTTGAAAAATTTCTTCTAAAAACTCACAGCAAAATAGACCAATATCACATCTATTTTTACTTATTATTCTATTTTATTTTTTTGTATTCGTGCTGATAATATTGTTATCTCCTCTACCCACATATCTTTACCTTTAGATTGTTAAGGTTTCTTTTTATTTTACATTCGGTAAAATCACAGACTAAATACTTTAGCTCTACGGTGATGTCCTTTGTAAGTAGTAACAAGAAGGTGGAACCTAGCAAAATAGCAAGTTGTCACATTAGTCACTTTGTTGCTTATTAGAATATTTTCTGGCCATAAGCGAAGCGTCAAATTTAAGGTCGCAAATTTTGGTTCAGAAGATTGAACAATTCCTAGAGAATGAAATGATTATTTAGCCTGCGTAAGACTAAATCAAATGGCAAGCGGAAGGATCATCGCAGATAGTTTGTTTGGTATGTCAAAATAAGATTTAATTAACCACATATCACAAAACCTAAAGAAACAATCTGTTTATGATTCGGCGGGCACAGTCATGATCACGTAC